GGGAATGAAACAGATGTTACTCGTTTTCAAACTTCAGTTTACTGTAAATGTTAAAGCTAAAATTGTCTTTGAAGTGTCAATGCATTGACCTGCAATGAATTTTTGTATGCAACTAAACTGTCCCAACAGATTTGCTGAGCATAAGAAGTGAGGTCAGTCTTAAAGTCTTCTGTCTTAGAATATTTTACTTTGTATACTTGAATAGTAATAAACGAAGAAAATCATTTTGGAAAATGTCATAAACAGAAGGGGAAAATGAAATCCTAATGAGAATATAGTTGTTCAGCAATGAAGCTTTAAAACCGAAATGACTTTAAAAAAAATCAGAATAAAATGTACTATAAAATGCTGAAATTTCTTCAATCAAATCTCTGGTATCCATGGTAGACTTTCAGAAGATATAATTCCTCCATTCAGTTTTGCATGAATTTCAGTTACTGTTTTTAATTTTCAGAAACAAAATTTAGCCTTACTTAGGTTATAAGAAATGAGTTTTTTGTCATTGTTGTTTTATGTGTGCTTTTAGTAGATGCATTATAGATTTGTACATGCAAATTATAAATAGCTGAACAGCAGTGCTGTAGATGAGGGCTTTCCTAGACACCCCTTCCAGATGTTGCTCGTGCCTGTGTTTGAATTTTTGGTGAGGGCGCAAAATTTCATGAGTGGCATCAAACCTTAAATAAGAGTTTTAGCTTGGTGCTAGTGACACCGTGCTGCCAAGAAAAAGGTGTGCATGGAGATAAGCCCCTCACCCTGCTCCTTTCCTATTGTTTTGCACATAGGATGAGGTAATGTTTACTTCAAATCAAACTGTGGTGCTGGAAAGTAATGAGCATCAGATAAAATGTAGAATATCTAGATAATCCCTTTCCCTGATTTTTTTTTCCATTGATATAATAATGCTGATCAAATAGCATGAGGATAAATCTGTTCTTGCAAGGATCAAATTTGAAATGTCTTGGGTGTGAATGACAGCATGGTCCTTCTAGGAGGGTATTCTGATTTTATTGCTGTAATGCTTGCGTTTTATTGTGCTGTCACATGTTGACTTTGAGATGAGGTTGTTATGATCTAGCTTTTTTAAGCTACTCTAGGCAGTAGCTTACAGTTGTTTTACAGCTGTAGATGGCTGTCATAGGGGGAGAGAACACTGCTGGGCAGAATGAAGTATAGATCTCAGATCAGCTGCTGCCATACTGGTAACTAACGGGGATGGCATGTGTGTTTGCTTGTCTGAGTCTGAGAGACATGGTCTGCAAGCTTAGTAATTTATAGTTTTGTTTATTTATTTATTTATTTTTAACTTAATGCCCTTGGCTGTTTTGCTGGGCAGTAAACATAATAGTGGTGGGAATTGAATATTTGGGCAGAATGAAGTGTAGATCTGAGATCACCTGCTGCCATAATGGTAACTAACGGGGATGGCATGTGTGTTTGCTTGCCTGAGGGTGAGAGACATGATCTGCAAGCTTAGTAATTCATAGTTTTGTTTATTTTATTTATTCTTTTAACTTAATGCCCTTGCCTGTTTTGCTGCGCAGTAAACATAATAGTGGTAGGAATTGAATATGAGTCTTTTTAGTTCAGAATAAGATCACATTTTACTTCTATATTTTAAGTATTTTCATGGACCTAGCATTATGTACTTGGATTCAGAGATAACATATCCCATTGCAGAACAGATATAGTGTCTGGCTCGGATGGCCTTATGTGCTATCTTATGTCTTATATTGCCTTCAAAGTTACTGTAGAAACTGTCAGAGCTTTTGTGAAGTCAGGATTTTACTTACCATAGCGTAAGTTTTGATTCTTTTTCATCTTTTTCTTACAGGTAGAGCAAGTGAAATTGCTAGATAGGTTCAGCACCAGCAATAAGTCGCTAACGGGAACTCTGTACCTTACAGCAACTCATCTCCTATTCATAGATTCCAGCCAGAGAGAGACCTGGGTAAGCATGTGGGTGCGTGTGGCTCCAAAGCACATGTTCTTCAGGTGCATTTGTCCTGCATCTAAGGTCGAATTTGTTTACTAAAGTGCCTCCTTAAGCTATGCTTTTCCTTACTCTTTCCTTATTTATGGCATAAGCAGTAAGTTAAACATTTACAGACTGCACTTCTATTGTTCTAGGAATGATACGTTTATTGTTGACATCGGATAATGATGAAAGTAATTCTCACTTCTGTTTCAGGTCCTATGTCTTTTTCTAAGTAGTCTCTATATTTATCCCTGAACAAATGTGTGGTATTTTTCTTTAGATCTCTGAGCTGCATTACAATTTGGAGGTAGGAGTAGGAGATTGATAAATAGCTAAAGCATCAGGTTTAAAATGCCTGCACTACAGATAATTTAGGCAGGATCTAAATGTAAATGAGACAGCAAAATCCAAAGATATATGGTCTGTTGAGATATTGAGGATTTCACATGCCTTTTCAGAATGATGAGCAGCTATTTCTTCCAAAGAAGATCCTTAGGAGACAGGAATTTGCAAGGGATTGCAGCTCCTTGATAACAATGATTTTATATGGTCAAAAGTGGCTAGGACAGTAATGTCTATTAGTTTCTCTGCTCAGTGCACTGGTGGTACACAGGGAGGCAGCAAGTTGTAGCTGCCAGGGTAGTGCAGCTCTGTGACTGAGCTCCATGCTGTTAAGTCTATACGCTCGAAGTTCAACCAGCACAAACCCTTATTTCTTTGGGAATGGCTCACCCCTTGTTTGTTTGTTTGTTCTTGTATTTCTCCCTGTCGTTAGGATTTCTCACCCTTAATCCTGTGTCCCAGTTACCTTATTTGATGCCTCATATTTAAGTCATGTTTCAGTAGTTTGTTTTTAGATGCAGTGGGTTTTTTTTATTAATATTTTTAAAGCAATTGTCCTTTCATATGAAAGAAGCTGATGGGGAGCACAAGATTCGGAAGCATTGTCTATATCTCACTGTGCACTATTCTTCCCGCTGAACTTTTTAAAATTAAACCTGCATGCAAAGTATTGGATTTTTGTGATGCTAGCGCAAGCACCAAGTATAAATATGGTGTCTGCAAGATGTAGGCTCCTCATAAATGCCTATTTGGCAGCATAGTTTTCAGGTGCCCGTCTAATTCTTATCAGTACTTGAGAGGAGGAGATTACTTCAGGGAGGTAACTGAAATGCTGTGGAGAACATACTGCTCAGCTGAGAGAATATGTCTCTGGATTTCTTCCAGTGGTTGATCGATTGCAACTTTCTCACGTTTTTCCCTGTGCTCTTTGTAGGTCTGCCCCAAAGATCGAGTAAGTTCTGTGGGGGGCCTTTGTATAGCCATTACTGTGGCTGTCAAAGTGGTTGAAAGGTTTTTTAGCTGAGTGACAGTCTTGTCCATATCAGCCGAGTACATAATGTAAGGTTTTTTCCTTTTTTTCCTTCTCTGTACACCTGTAAATGGTTAATGTTGTCTCTGTTGCATTCCTGGCTTGAAGGGTAGTAGGCTGAGCCTAGTAAAGTGGTAACTGGTACACAAAATGCCTAATGTGAACTACACTGATGGGCATCAGTGAATGCCAAATGCTGGAGTTCTGAAGCCTTTGGTTGTCTTCTAGTAATCCATTTCCTGTAAATTCTAAAAGTTGTGTTCTTTGTAAACATTTTTTTTCATTTTTTTTCTTATTTTACCTGGATGATGCATCTCTTTATTATAAAATAAATTTACAAAAAAAAAAAAAACCTAAAAAAAGGTGTAGCTCTTTTGTCCCATCTCGTTACCTTTTTAGATGTTAAGTTTGTCAATTAGTAAAGTTACAGGAAAGGATTAAACAACCCAAATTGAGTTTTACTTCTGGATTTTGCACTTGAAAGGGTATTTCTTACAAACATTTACATGACGCTTTTATTTAAAAAAAAAAAAAAAAAGTAAGTGTAATTTTAGTAAGTTATGGTAGGCACACTAAAATGTGAATCATCTGTCTTCTTATAACTAAATGATTGCCAACAAGTTAAAATCTCTTTAGAACAGCTCGATATATTTGTATACCTCCTTTTACAATATGTAAAAGGATATTATTCATCAGTACCCTTGATTTGTATACCTCCTTTTACAATATGTATATACCTTTCTATTGATATTATTCATCAGTACCCTTAGACTTTGAGTACTTCTCTGCCCTAGATACTACATCATCATATTGCTGCAGTGGAAAAACTTCCCTTAACTACTTCTGGCTGCCCCCTTGTCATCCAGTGCAAGAACTTCAGGATTGTTCACTTTGTTGTTCCCAGGGAGAGGGATTGTCATGACATTTATAACTCTCTGCTTCAGCTGTCAAGAACAGGTGAGACTTCCAACTGCGGAAGACATCCAGTATGTACCTGGATAACAAGTTTGTGGGGATTTCCCCCTCCCCCCCCCTTTTCTTTTGTTAGTAAATGTGCTTAGTGTGAGGTCTTTGAAATGGGTTTGGTATGAGAAAGAATAGGGTATTAATCTTCGGGTGTGAATTTGGAAGTTGTTGTATTGTCTAGATAGGAACATGTGGGGTTCCAGTAAATCCAGCATTTACAATGTTATTGCTAGAACGGTGGATGAATGCACACAGTTTCTCATAATTGATGAGTTCGTAGATAAAATGCTGTTGAACAAGTATTTTTATGAGCATCATGCAGTTTTAAGAATAAAGCTGAAATTCTGATGCTTAAGTGCCAATTTAGATTTTCAAGGCTTCTTTTACCTAGTGTAGTGTCACTCAGTTTTTTCTTTTTTGAATAATTTGGAAAGAGTATATTAGAAAATCATCATAAATTATTTTAAAAGTTTTATCTTGCTCAATTAGAAAACTTATTCTTTACAATAATGAAGTAATAAAGTTTGAGACTCACCCTTCTGTTCTTACTGCCAAAAATGATTCTTCTCTTAGCTTCTCTAAAGCTTTCTAACAATTCTTAAAATTTTTGTTAATTGTGGGTCTTCAATTTGTGACCTTTATTTTGCCTTTATGGCAATCCTGAAATACCATGAGCAAACTTTCAAAAATGTTTGTTTAACCTACCTTCAACTACATATCTATCACTCTGTCAATTGCACAAAGTTGCAGATTAAATATTTTAAGAGTACTAAATATCTTTTCAGTTTCACATCTGAGACTCTTAGAAGAATCAAATTTTCTGTGCAATTTGGGCAATTTCAAGATTTTTTTTTTTAATATAAAACACTTCCAACACCCTTTCTAGTGGCAGTAACCTGTGAGTAAGTATTACTTTCTAGAGATGAGTCACTAGACATCATCTAAAGACTCCATGAAGAACTAGAATGCTGATGATATAAATCTGGAGGCTTGATAGGCACAAGGGGAACTGGACAATCCTACAGCAAGAAATAGATGTCTCAAAAACTGATATTATTTGTATAGAAAGAAATTTAGTAGCATAATATGTTGGAATATGCATTTGAAGACCTGTGGGTGGCTGCCTGAGATGCAGACAGCAACAGATATAAGGGGTTCTGAGTGAGAATACTGCCATTTTCTGGGTTCCCTCCTAACTTAATGTTTTCAAATGAGACCCAGCTGTGTAACATCCCTACCCAACATCTGGCAGCCAACTCATTACATAGTCTTACTTCTCTTTTAACTTACAGCACAATATGATGAGCTGTATGCCTTTTCCTATAATCCAAAACAAAATGCATCTGAGCAAGTGAAAGGCTGGCAACTTATTGATCTAGCAGAAGAGTATAAGAGAATGGGAGTGCCAAATGCCAACTGGCAATTGTCCGATGCAAATCGTGATTATAAGGTAAGGGTTTGATGGGAAGAAGGAATTTTACTTCTGTTTTTGCTCTTTTCTGGCTCTAGTCCTATTGAAAGACTAACTACTCTGAGTATAAAGTCCTCCTTAATTTGCCAGGCACAGCAATTACCATGCTCTTGCCACTCTTACAGCTCTCTCAGCTGATTCTGCCTCGTCATTTGCAGCCCTGAGTTGGGGAGGCAGCGGCTGTGATGGATTTAATCTTATTTCGTAGTTTGCAAGTAGAACAACGAGGGAAATATTTTCAATATCTTATGTGAAACAAATTCTTAGTGTTTCTACTGAAGAATCCTCATTCTTCAGAGGAATGCTAGTAAAGCAGTGCTTTCCAGGACTGATTCTATCACTTTCACATCAGTTCACACTTTTTTTTCCTGTGGTCTGTTTCCTCTCCTGAAATACATACATATATATGCAGAAGCGTGCAGGTGTTTACCCTTTGTCTTTTGTTATTTATCTTAATCTCTCTCAAATTGAATGCTCTAAAATTATCTTAGGGTACGTGTCTAGTGCTAGGTTTGTGTGACCTGTATATAAAATGTTTCTGTTGTATATTTGTCTCTTCCAGATCTGTGAAACTTATCCTAAAGAACTTTATGTTCCTAGAACTGCAAGCAAACCTATAATTGTGGGTAGCTCCAAGTTCAGAAGCAAAGGAAGATTCCCAGTGTTGTCTTATTATCATAAAGATAAAGAGGTATAGTCTGTATTTCTCAACACCTACCAGTAGCTCAGGGTAGGTAAGGAAGTAAGTATACAAACTCATCCATATGAGGATGTACAACTCATGATAACCTTAAATACAACCAACCTGAGTGATGTCTAACAGGATGCTGAGTTGAGCTAAGCCAGTTTAAAAAAAAAAAAAAACTCTTAAGTAATTAGCCGAGTGCCTCTAAAGCTTTCAGAAATCAGTCTTAATATCAACTGAAGATAGAGCAGTTGAAACAAAGCTATCTTGTTAATTAATAAGCAACAAAATGTTAAGTCACAATGAAGGCAGAGAGAAACCAAAAGGCTAGAACACCAAATGAGGTGTCAATTTCAAGGCTTAAATAGAAATCTCAAGAATTGAAAAATCAAATTTTATGGGGTTTGACAGAAAGCGACTTTTTGTGTGAAGCAGCTGCTTGTCACAGCTCGTGGGTATCTTTGAGAGGAAGGCAGGGTTAACACCTTTTCAAGCTGAGGAATTTGTGAAAGAATGTAAAACTAATAAATATGTTTGGGACTGACTGCTAATTGGAAGATCTGTCATATGCTGAAATGGAATGCTATAATAGAAAATAAGGTGAAAATTACTTCAATAATAAAATCAAAAAATATTAACACAAATCATTTTATACTAAGTATATACTTTATTTTCATGGAGTATTTTTCCCAAGTCTGTTATTTTCTAAATTTTTCTATGTAGGAATGTCCAGTATGTAAACTGGTACTTTGTTCCTATTGATAGATCTGAAAAATGTTGTTTTGATTGTACCTTTAGATTTGAATTGCAGGCCTTATCTGTTTGAAGGTCTGCAACTGGTAAACTTGGAAAGTTAGGCCACTCATTCCTTTGTGCATGTGTGCTGTTGGTTTTGTTGTTTTTTGTACTGTCCTCAGTCAAATGAAACAAGTATTTTTCGTAGAATTATGGCAAGTGCTTCAAGGAGAGGTATGAAACTGTTGTAAACTTGTTATTTGCTTTCTATGGTAGGCTGCAATTTGCAGATGCAGTCAACCTCTCGCAGGTTTCAGCGCGAGGTGCTTGGAAGATGAGCACATGTTGCAAGCAATCAGTAAAGCAAATCCTTCAAATCGCTTCATGTATGTCATGGACACCAGGCCAAAGGTGTGTGTTTCTACAGGCTGTTTCGTCTTTTCTTTTCAAGTGTTAGAAGAGGGTACAGGGATGCGGGATTTCTAAAGATTTCAAATTAAATATAAATCTCTTGGGCCAAAATACTTTTAAAAAAATGTAAAGACTACTACTTTCCTGCAGTAAATGCTTCCTTTCTTAAACTGAATCCCTCTCTAAACTTGGTTGGTATTCCTACAGTATGTCAAGGATTTTTTGGGGAGTTGGATTTAAAAACAGTACTTAAAACATGGGCAAGAGCAGACTAACACTTCATTTTGAGCATCATCTTGGAATAAGATTCAAGTAAGATTTGGAGTAAGATTTGGGCTGAAATTCACAAAGAAGTGGTGAGTTAGTTGTGTTGGATTAGTTTGGAATGGAAGGGACGACAGTGTTCTGTGGGAGTGCTATGTGAAAGCTGTTGTCTCACTAGGGGAAATTTAAAATCTGTTGTAAACGTGTGAAGTCATACTTCAACACTGCCAACTGATTTTTTTTTTTTGGCTTATTTTTGAGCCATCATATGATATATGGGATGGTTTTCAATTCAGACTGTCATTTAGACTGGTACTCATTTCATTTAAATCTCTCTGAACACAGAGGCCAGAAAGCAATCATGTGAAGCACAAGTCCTGTGCTGTAGCATCTTAGCTATATTACGCAGACTGCCGCAGTTCTGATTGACAAACTGAAACTGTGCCACCTGTAGGTTTGTGTTGTACTTTTTATAGCTGCCAACAGTTTATTTCCAAAAACAATCTGGGGATTTTTTTAGGATGCCTGGAAAATGTGTGTGTATGGTTAAGTCTGTGATTTACTTTTTAGCTTGTTATATTAACTGTATAACAATCACTTCTTTCAGAAATGCTTTTTAAATAAGTAACTGTTTATAGCAACATGGAGCTTACAATAGGAAAATATTAAAAGCATTAATCAGAGTTGTCATTTTCAAATAGTAAAAAGCATCAAGCAGTCTCCATAGTACTTACTGCTTTTCTTACATGTATGTGTGCTTGTCTTTGCAGTTCAATTATTGAAATTGTTTGATTAATTTTGTTATGAAAAATAAAATGCAAGCCACTTAACGGCTTCTCGGTATTTCCATTTTGCTCTTTGAAGCTTAATGCAATGGCAAACAGAGCTGCTGGGAAAGGCTATGAAAATGAAGACAACTACTCTAACATTAGATTCCAGTTTGTTGGAATTGAAAATATTCATGTGATGAGATCCAGCTTACAAAAACTGTTGGAAGGTATGTTCTAATTGTAATACAATAGTGTGTGTGTTTATATAATTATATTAAAAAAATAGGATGAGTGCTCTTCTGAACTCCTACACACCTTATATAACCTGTGCTGAGATTTGAGTATTACATTTGATAACAGCCAGCTGTGTATCAACTTTACTGTGATAACAAAATGCACCTTTAACTTTTAAGCTGTAAGTCCGTGTGGATGAACTCATGATTTACTTCAGGGAGAGTGGTGTGGTACATATCTGTCTTGGGTGAACTTGGTTGAGTATGTAGGCATCTTGCAAAATGGCATCTGCATCAACTAATAGTAAATGTGTGTGTGTGTAAGATTGTGTATATATATGTGTGTGTGTTTATATACATACATAAAACACAGGTTTGTATGTATCTGTATAAAGCTTTCCAGTCCTTCAAGCAGCACTTAATTTGCACAGGGCTCACAGTAGGGATGTATATCTGTTGTATACAAGTGTTAAACTCTTTTGTGTGGCAAGTGGTGCCTCTGCTCGTAGATGCATCTTGTATGGCATTTGAGAAAAGTGAATCAGTTCCAATTACCACTGTCAGCTGTAGGATGGTAAAAATGGAGTGTTAGATATCTTCTATTTCCATTTTGATGTCTTGCTTGGTAGTTCTGTTTTGTTAATATTTTGTTTAGACCTAAGGCCTGAAAAATTATCACTACTTTTGTATAATAATGTCTGGTCTAGTTGTGTATGCAGCATGTAGATGTTAATTTTTTTTAGACAGAACATTCTGTTTGACTTAGTCAATGGTGTTGTTTTTTTTTTTTCTCTGTAGTAATAGCTTAAGTCACTTGAATGGAGAATTTATTGCTAATGTCTCACCAGCTTTTAGGCTTTCTCACACTATAAAAACTTGTTTGCTAAAACAAAATGATGACTTGATCCTCTTGGATTGCTCTAATCTAGTCATCTTTTGTACCAAGTAGTTGTATTGTGAATACATGAAATCTAGCAAGCTTTTGGCTAACTTCCAGGCTAAATCTACTGAACTGAATCTTACTGAGTGGCAAGGCTGTCTTTCAGGAGGCCACCTTTTCCTAAGAGGGAAATTTACAGCCTGGAACCTGGCCAAAAAAAAAAAAAAAAAAGGGGGGGCTGGTCCCAAGTTTCATCTGTGCTTTCAAATACTGCTCTTGAGGATGCTATTCCTGTTACTTGCTGGTTTCTGGGATACTGGAGGAGAAAGGAAGAGAAGAGTGGAATTCCTCAGAAATGTAGAAAGTGAGTTCAAAAGTCTTAAAATCTAAGGAAGCAGTAAGTAAATGACTTTTCAGGTTCTTGTAGGCATGTGCCATCAGTGAGGTTATTTGGAAGAAAATGCTATGGAAAAGGCTCATAACTTAGAAGAGGTGAAGGCTGCTGAGCTCTTGTGCAGCAGCTTTCCCCTGGTTGTGCCGAACGGAATGTTCTCGAGCTGGCAGAGTGCTTCCAGTGACCCTGTTCTTTCAGGACTCATTGTAATTGGAACTATCTCCAGATTTTGTTTATAACAAACAGCAGTTCTTCCTTGGGCTCATAGACAGAGAGCCTAGGATCTGCCTGATCTTGTAGTTTACCAGAAGTGAAATTTGTTTTCACAATAAACTTTTCTGGACTGCAGCAGGATCTAATGAAATAAATTAGAAGTTGTTTGCTTGCAAATGGAACATGAGACAATCCTTCCCACACCTCTCTGGAATGGGACCATGCCATGGAACATGTTGCAGGGGTTTGCAGCCTGTTCTTTCACTCCACTTCAGTTTTCCTTAGAGATTTTGCACACAGTGAGGCGAAACTCTAAAATATTCATCTCCAGTGTGGGCACAATGATTTTATTCCTGATAAAACACTGATGGCACACTGATGGGCCGTGTTTCAGTCTGCTTATGCAGCACTAGTGGAAGAATCTTCACCTAGATTAAGCTATTGAAGGTACTGAATCTAGAAGAGTCCAGTTTTATACATTCAAAAAGACTATTACTTGTCAGAAAAGCTTGATAAGCAAAAAGGGTTTGCTTTTGTCAAGAAATGGCATTTCTGCAGGATGTCTGCAGCCATGTTGAAGGATGATAGTTATTTTGGAGGATATCTTCTTCCTCCTGCCCTCCATGGGTACCATAAATCATCTTCAACCCTTTCAGGAACCACTAGGGACTGGGAGTGATTCTAGGACATAAGCATTAAACTGGTGTTATTGCAATCATTTCATCACTAAGGAATTTAAAACATCCTCATTAACTCCCAGAAATAGGAAATTAATTTCTTGCATTGGTTCATGAGGCCATAGAAATCTAGCTGGGAGGAGAAAATGTCACAGATCAAATGCTGCTCAAAGGCAGGGTTTGAGAGAAATATCTAGGTGAGAGCAAACGAAGGGCTGAAAATCTGTTTATTTTCTCACTGAAAACATATGCTGATGCCTTCAAGTCTTGGGTGATTCCCCTTGTGGGGGAGACCTTTCAAGAGGAGATCTCTTTCCTAATGCTAGTGCCTTTTCATCAAAGGCCAGAGCAAACTGAACACAGCTTTTGCTGGTTTTACTGGTAACTCTAGGCTGCTCTTTAAAATGAGGCTGTGACTAGAGAGTTCTTGTTGTCTGTTTCGTTGAGAGGCTTTACAAAGAATGGTGCTTTATTTGGCTGGGAATTTGTTACAGCACTGAGTGGCAACGGGCACCACAAATCTTCTGGTCAATGGGGCCTCTACCAAAACTCGTGTGTCTGGGAGCTAAGGAGCACACAGATGTTTCCTGCAGATGCAGGAAAGCTGCAGGAATAGTGGTTTCTTAGGAGTCTCCACCCTTCATTGCTGCGTGGGAATTGAGTGAATGTGAAACTGAGCCGCAGGATGACTTTTTTTCCCCTTCTCTCTACTGACTAATTTCTCCCTGTACCCAGAGATAAAGATTATTTTGCAACTTGCATATGAATGGCCTCACTGCTGACTTTCAGCTTTTTTTTTTCTTTTTTTCTTTTTTCCTCTCAAATTGGGGCTCTAGCTTGGCAGAAAATAGTTTTTGCTTGTGGGAAAGGTGCTTTTGTAGGTAGCAACTTGAGGAATTAAGGAATTTTCTCTTAGGATCATACGGGTGTATTAGTCAGGGAACAAATTTATTTTTAATGCCAGAAGGTCCTCCTGGTTGGAACAGTAATGTTAAATTCTGGGAGCTGGGGCTTAAAATGATTAGTAAAAAGTTGTTTCTATCTGATAGCTGTTTAGTGTGCTTCAAAATTCACACTGCTCTGTATTTCTTGTGAGTTGGTAACCATCCATGTGAGCCACATGAATCCACCTCTAACTGTTGTTGCTACGCTGTGAGGCAGCTTTCCTTTAATTTTGGTTTTCCTTTTCCTGCCCCTTCCTTAGCCTTAGCATTGCAGGTTCAAAGTACCCTCTGAAAGAACAGGAGAGGCTTCGTTATAAGCAGTCTTTCAAGGCAGACAAAACTTGCTCCGTGTAGCTCCTGGCTCCATCCCTGTCCCTGTGCTGCACTCCTCTCCCTCTTGGCAGGGAGAGGGAATGATTCAGCTCCGGCAGCCTGGCTGCTCAGAGCTGTGTGCGCTATCTGGATGTGGCTACTTGGTTGTAATGATAACAACAGCCTGTAAGGATTGTTGGCAAGCTCATAACTTTGCACTTAATTTATTTATTTTTGTCAAAAGATGCCGAGATCTTATTCTTATTATTCATGGTCAGTGTAGTTCCGCAGAGCTGAATTTTAGTTGGGGATCATATTTTGCATCACCTCTTTAATCCCTTTAGGAGCTTTCCTAAAAGATGCTTCAGATCCCCTCACAATTTGTATATTGTTGCCAAAATGCTTTCTCCATTGCAGACTATAGGAAGTTGCAACTTTTTAGAGCTTTCTAACTCTCCTGATTTCTTCCAGTCAGTGGTACAAAGGGTTTATCTGTCAACGACTTCTTGTCTGGTTTGGAGAGCTCTGGATGGCTTCGTCATATCAAAGCTGTGTTGGATGCTGCTGTCTTCCTCGTCAAGGTAACTTGTGTGCTGCTGCTTTCTTGACTTGATCCCTGGCAAGGTTAAACTTAATGTTTGAAGTATAAAATCCTTTAAATGCAGTCATCTTTAGTTCACTTTACTGATCTTTTTTTGGAGAGAAGGAGAAGCTTGAAATAAAACAGCGTACCTGATGTGTCCATGTATAAATATTGCATGTTTCCTAATGGCAGTTACTGTATGTGCTGGGTAAAGTTTGAGGTTTATTCGATGCTGTTTGGGTCACTTACTGAAGCATGAAAGGTCCTTTATGCTACTGATAAAAGATCCAACCAATTTGCAGGGAAGTGGAGGAAACATTTAGATTACGCTGAAAAACAGGTTGAGGCACTAATTGCAGAGAAGTCAAGATGGGTGTGTGCTGACTTTAATTTGGCAAGGAAATGGGGCTGTTTATGAATAAATCAAAGAAAATGTTGCCTTCTTAGGCGCGTATGAAGCAAATATTTTCTTTTTTTTTGCGGGGGGCGGGGGAGGGCAGGGAGTGCTGGGTCCTTTCCACTAGCTGAAATAACAAGATTTACATTAAAAGTGGACTCTTCTCCACTTTTAATGGACCCACCAAATTACTGCATTGGCAGCATTTTAATTCTTAGTTGAAGGTAGTGAGCATTTCTTGTCCTTTTATATCGATTAACAAGTAGGTATTTTTTGTCTTCTACGTCCTGTTTGGTCTGTATTGCCATGTGCTTTTTTGTCAATATTAATTGAAGAGGTATTTCAAAATTTAAGAGGGATAGAGAAATGGTATCCACTGTGTAGAAGTTCCTATTTCTTTCCTCTGTTACCTTTGCACAAGATATTTCTTTCCTTTACAGGATGCTTTCTGCATTTCACTGGAGAAGAGTTCGTAGCTTTCTAATTAGTATCTAATTTTTCCTCTAATATATATATATATATTTTTGTCTGTGTTAAAATGGGCTATAGTGTGAGTTTGGAATAAATGGAGCTTTTGTAATTATTTACAAAATTCTGACATCTGCCTTGAATATTCACTAAGAACAATGATGTTTTGCTTTGCAGGCAATAGCGGTTGAAAGTGCTAGTGTGTTAGTGCACTGCTCCGATGGCTGGGATAGAACTTCCCAAGTTTGCTCCCTTGGAGCTCTGCTACTAGATTCCTATTACAGAACAATTAAAGGCTTCATGGTAAGCATGCTGTTGTATTACTGAATTGCTTCTTGGTAGATCAGGATATAAAAGGTGAACTGTATTAGCAGGAGTGCAATACTGATGTTTTTTCTCATGCTTTACATTTTTTTTCTCATGTTTGTTAATTGCCTATAGTTGCTATAAACCTTTTGCAGCAAGTGAGTTCTTACTGCTTTGCTGTGTTGAAGTAAGCCTGGTTTACAGCAGGTTGTCCACCTGCTGTTAAACTCTGTTCTTCTGGGTTTAGAAATGTGTTTTTATTTAGTACAGCTAAATTCTTCACAGCTAAACTTGATGAAACTTTAAGAATCTGTTGCAAAGGAATCTTCTAAGAAAGTAAAGGAACCACCTGCCAAGTGACAAATACTTGCTCTTACTGTAATTAATTGATTCAGACAGAAAACACAGCCTGTAGATAGGCTGTGAAGGTAATACTGCATTTATAATACTATTATTAAGAATGCTGTGTTTTTTTTTTTTTTTCCTTTCTAGGTCTTGATAGAGAAGGATTGGATTGCTTTTGGGCACAAATTCTCTGACAGGTAAGTCACTTTTCCAGTAAAAAAATGTATATGAGTACACACTTCAGCTCCTTCAGCTCACTGAAGGATAAATATGCCAGTAAAAGTGACTTAGCGTTTTATATTAGTGTTGATGTCCTTGTGTACTTAAAAAGCTTATGGAATTATGATACTTAAACTACAGCAGCGTTGCTAGAAACTGTGCTATGAGTAGACTAGTGTCAATAGGCAATGCACTCTGTATTTTGTAATACAGAGTAATTTTGTATTTTAACATTTGTTGAAATGCCTGTTGGATAATTGCTTTATACAACAGACATACTTCCTGAACTGCTGGCAGCTTGCGCTCAGATGTTGACGACAGCTGCTGGATCTGCACGCATGTCTAGAAAATGCAAGGCCAATCCCAAGCCACCTTCCAGTCATTTAGGCAACATAAAACACAGTTTTAAAGTTTTGATCTTTTTTAAAATGAGCTTATATTTACCTTTACTTTTAATGTTGATATAATGCTTAGCTTGAAATGTCCTATATACTTAAAGTGGTGTGTTTTTTTTTTTTTCTCCTCTTCATGTGACTTGTACTGGCTACAAGAATAGCCTAGTTTGCTATATATGTTACTTTTAGTTGTCATACTTCAAGTGTTTACTATGGAAATAATAGAGAACAAAAGAGTGTCTTAATTTTGTCTTGTGTTGATTTTCTGTACTCGAATACAGAGGTGTGTGGGGGGGAATCAGAAAGATAGTCCAAATACAGAAATACAGACTTATTTAAAATTTGCCCCAGTTTTCTAAACTAGGTACTCAGTCTCCAAACCAAAGCTAGCATTTGATTTTAGCTACCCTACATCAATTTGATGCAACTAAGTCTGTGTGCCTTTTTTTTTTTTCCTGTAGCTTAAACTATTTTGTTCTTTTTATGGAATTTTTGTAGGTGCTGTCAGTTGGATGGTGATCCAAAAGAAATCTCACCGGTGTTCACACAGTTCTTAGAAAGCGTGTGGAATCTCACTGAGCAATTCCCTCGAGCCTTTGAGTACAATGAAGCTTTCCTCCTTCAGATCCATGAGCATGTCCATTCCTGTCAGTTTGGAAACTTCCTTGGAAACTGCCAAAAAGAGCGAGAAGAACTAAAGTAAGGAAACTAATTGAAGTGTGTCTTGCGTTATTTTTCCCTGATAAACAAAGAACAACTATAGATTTAATTTTGACGGGGTCTTGGAATAAAAGTAGGGAGACAGAATAAGTAGTACTAAAACAGAAAATGAACTACAGTAGGGAAGAGCAGTTTGCATAGACCTTTTTTTCTAATTTGGGAAGAAAATCCATATTCCCCTTTTAGAGGACGAGTCAAGGTGTTTCTTGCCTCCTTCCTTTTCTAAAAAGGGGTGAGCTTAAGTTTGAAAAGCTTAAAAGTTTCACTTCACTTTCTTCTTCCAATCTATCTGTAGTATCTAAAACTGTTGGCTATTCAAGGCTATTTCCTGTCAGTAAATAGATGTATATGGAGGATATTTCCAAATGTTTTCAATTTGAAAATATAAACTTGTCATCACTTCATCACTACATCTTAAAATGTATTATACTAAGCAAAATTTGCACAGCATAAGGACTGCTGGTTCCAAAACTTAAAGTAAAATTGATTTCCTCCCCCTTCCTCCTCCTGGCATAATGCAAATGTTGGATAGATTTGAGCGGAGAGTTTCATTCAAAATTTATACCTTTTCTGCTAACTTTAAAATAGCGATTGAGATGGATTTATTATGTTGAGTCAAACAGATTCTGGGCTTTTACTTGCAGTCTGTGTCTTGACCTTGATTTCTTCTCCTAAGATTTAGAGAGAAGACCTATTCCTTGTGGCCATTCCTTCTGGATGAACAAAAGAAATATCAAAATCCTTTGTATGATCCAGATGTTTCTCCAGAGCTAACTCTTTTGGAGCCTAACACAGTGTCTTTCAACTTTAAGTAAGTTTGAATTAATACAGTATATTTTGTTTAATTCTGTCATTATTCTGGATGGTTAGAAACTGTCTGTAATGTGCAGGTTTTGGAGGAACATGTACCATCAGTTTGATCGAAGTCTGCATCCCAGGCAATCTGTATTGGATCTTATCATGAACATGAGCGAGCAAAATAAACAACTGGAAAAAGACATTAAAGAACTGGAAGCTGTAAGTATTACAAATAAGAATGATTGTAATAAAGCTTCTGGCTTTCATACGAGTCTCGCTACTGCCAGGCTATAGAGCCAATGTTCTGCTTTTAGCCACAAGTTACTGTGCTTTGCTGATGAACTGTATCATATAAAACTATTCCTACTATCAAAGTATCACTCAAAATTGCTCGATATTAAATTCAAGTGAAACAAATCTGAGATAACAAGGCACTCATCTGTTACAGCTGCATGGATAAACCAGGAAGATCTGGATTTTTTTTTTTAATCCAGTAAAATGCAGACACTGTATGTTTTTTTGTCATTGCAATTGTGTGAACCTGTATATGAGGTAAGGCAATAATTATGGACTATATACATTGAAATGTTTACTTGAAGACAGGATCTCCAGGGGCTAAATCCACATAGAAGTCAGTTTTCTAGGAATGAGTGGTCACATTTCTACAGTAAACAGCAGAAGAACTGAATGCTGTGCATCTCATTTTATTACAGTATGACTTAGTGAGCTGCATCTAAATGAAGCTTCATGATAGTCAAAATGCTGACTTCAAATTATTAGTTTTTAAGAAACTCAAGTCTTCTAAGACAAACATGAGTTTTATTTTTGTGTGACCACAAATGGCAACAGTGGTTAACTCTTGTGCATGCTGCACTGAAGAAGTGGAAAAATTACAGGTGTTTTAAGAGGAAAGATTTTCATTAAGCTGATATCTTAACTCTGTCTCCAATCTTAACTGTACCTTTAAACCTTTTTAAGACAGCTGATACAGCAGGATGAGAAATCAAGATAAAAAGCAAGATAAAGGTGAAAGTCCAGCAGGATGAAAACTCAAAACTTTGGTTTTCTAGAACCTTGTTCCAATGTGTTAACTTTACCTGTGCTCACTTTCATCAATCAGTTTGAAAAAGGGACCCTGCGCTTTTTGAGATCTTCTTGCAGACCTTTCTACTGCTATTTTCATCTTCAAAGTTAGTTTGTTAAAAGACATCAAGGGCTTCTAGGCTTGTTCTAGGTTTTAATAGGGCACAAACACATCATCAAGGGGAGAAAAAATAATTTCAGTTAGTGCAGGCTTTCCAATTGCTGTTCTCTACATTCACTGTGTGCTTGCAGGACAGGTCCTCTCTTCCAGTCCTCACAGAATCCCAGAATGGTTGAGGTTGGAAGGGACCTCTAGAGATCATCTAGTCCAACCCCCGTGCTCCAGCAGGGACACCTAGAGCACGTGGCACAGGGTGGCATCCAGGCAGGTTTGAAGATCTCCAGAGGAGGAGACTCCACAACCTCTCTGGGCGGCCTGTTCCAGGGCTCTGTCACCCTCACAGGAAAGAAGTTCTTCCTCACATGGAGATGGAACTTCCTGTGTTTCAGCTTGTACCCATTACCCTTTGTCCTGGCACTGGCCACCACGGAGAAGAGTTTGGCCCCATCCTCCCTGGGGCCAAACTCCCCTCAGGTATTTGTACATATTGATCATATCCCCTCTCAATCTTCTCCAGGCTAAATAGGCCCAGCCTGCTTAGTCTTTCCCCATAAGATAGATGTTCCAGTCCTTTAATTATCTCTGTTGCTCCTGCTTTCTAGTTAGCAATTTACAGTCATTTCCTACATTTGAAGCAGCTTTTTTTTCTTTAAGATCCAAATATTTTATAAGATGTTAGCCAGGAGAAGAGGTTAACTATGAACCTGCTTTGTCTTCAGAGATTCCTAGCTGGTCGCTGCTTGCCAAGAGCCCTGAGGCCTCTCTCCTGCTGTGCTGCTGCAGGAGGTGTTGCCATCCTGGTACCAGCCCAATCAGGAACAAGCTTGGAGAAGTCTCCAAATCTCCTTCCATGCAAAGCAAAGGGTCATCAGTAAAGCAGTGATTCTTACTGTAGTTACTATCTACATTTCAGAAAATAAAGCGGAGAAACGGCCAACTGGATGGAGTCCTCTTGAAGGAGCCTCTGCAGTCTGCCCCGCCAGCACCCGTCTCGCTGAAATCCCCTCCTTGCTTCAGGAAGGAGCAGCCGCTGATGCCGGGGACGGACGCCGTGAGAACCATAGAGGGCAGCAGCAGCGCAGACAATCGCTACAGCGAGTTCATGGAGGAGCTGGCCAAAGCGGAGCCCGCCGTGGTCAGCCTGGAGTACGGCGTGGCCCGCATGACCTGCTGATGGAGCCCTCGCCCAGGCCTCGTCTCTTCTAGACTGAAATGAAAGATGGACTATGGTGAGGATGGGCCTGTGCAGCATGACCAAAACCTGGTTTGTATATTGGCAAGTGTTGTTAACGTAGGCTAGAACAGCATGCTCGTTGTCAAGTGTTTGCTGTTCTCTTAACAACAACAAAAAGAGTGTAGCTGTGTTTTAAAAGAAGGGGCATTTTTGTCAGTAGTGACTAAAGGGTGGTATGTCTTGGGACTTGCATCAGTTTGCACTAAAATGATAAAGATGGTAACATTTCTTATAATATTCAGTATAGGAAAACACAGGTGGTCTTTCACAAGTTGATTTTATGTAGGTAAGAAAATTTGCACTTTCTACTTAGGAACTGAAGCTACATGTATATATTGCATCCAGTATAAATACATATACCCTCGTTTAATGTCACCTACTATTAAATTTCAGTGTATTAAGTGCCAAGAAAAAGTAAAATATATTTCAAATCATAACTAGTTGGCCTTAACCTATTGATTAGTAATATTCTTGTCCTTGACTACTGCAGCCTGTAACCAGACTCTGTTTCTATTGTAGTTGCTCAGATTTGTTCTTTCCTTAAGGCAGGACTGATTCTGGGGAATGAAGCACAGCTCAGCTAGTGCAGCATGACAGAAAATAGCTGTGCGAATGTTAACTTTCTCTTTTTCCCAATTCCTTTATTATTTAGCGTGTAATAGAGGGATCAGATCTTGCTGTCCAGCCACTTACACTGGCTGAGCTTCAGTGAGGCTGTAATTCATGTGTGTGATCTTAAGCTTTCATATTTAGCATGAAGAGCAAAAAGAGTAAAGCACATCATTTAAAAGGAGAGGGAAAAAAAAAAACATAGCCAATAACTGAGCAGTGAAGTTCCCTTCAGACAGTTTTCTGTGTGATTGTTTGGGTTCTGAGAACAGCAGAAGCAAAAGATGTGGGAGTTTAGTCTTCTGGCCATGACTGTCCTCAGATACAAAAACTTGGGTTTCACTTCTCTCTGATGCTCATGAGAAACTGAGTGCCTCATACTAAATTTTTGATTGAGTGGAAAAAAAACAATTATTAATGAAGTCTCTCATGTTGTTGAACTTCTTGCACTTATTGCACAATTTCAGTTCAATCTGGAGATTCTCTTTTAGCTTGAGAAAAGACAAAAACTGCGTCTGGCAGGATATAGTAGAAATCCTGGGACATGAGAGAATTTGGAGCATCTAAGGTTAACTCTGTGTCCATAGCTTATCCTGGTAAGGAAGATGGTTTTGCCCAAGTCCCATGGTAGACTTTTCTGGCACTGACATTTGAAAACAGAATAGAGAGGTAAAAATGTAAATACCTAGTCTTTAAGTGGAGGCATAAATTACAAGTTAAGGCTTTGGGTTCCCTCCCTGTGGTCTTAGATTAATACTAGTGGTTTTATCTCTGGCTTTAAATTATTATTACTATTGTTTTACAAGTGAAATGAGTTTATTCTCATGCTACTCCCTACAGTCTGTTTTATTGAAATTGACAGGGCACCCCACACAACTTGACATAACTGGCAGCATTTCTTGCGGCCCCAGATTAAGCCAGGACTCTTAAAAGGCCAATAATAGGTCATGGTCAAGTGACACTTTTGAAGCTGCCTGAGAGGAATTAAATATAAGCATTTAGTGAGTTTTAACTGCCTGTTTCACTAATTAAATTTTTAAAGCCTACAAATGTGAAGATTCATAAATCTTTTTATTCCCAAAGAGATTATAAGAAATGTTATGTTTAATGTACATCTTCCAACCATTTAAACACATTTAGATTTTGTTATTTTTTCCACTACAGATTTTGGCTTAAATTCACATTTGCACGTGTGGTGCCTTACAGAGTTGCAGCAAGAGAGGTTTCTGTGCCTTGTTATTTGCTGTCTCCTTCCCCCCACCCCTAACTTCTGTATCGACTTGGTTCTATGGTCTTCCTTTGCAAAACGTCTTGTGCGTTAAGCACATTGCATTTTATCACAAATTTATCACTGACAGCATAGGTGTTATCACTTGTGTGTCTTAATATTTACCTGCTCTGGTGTGCCATGTACATTGTTTTCCATATTTATTGTTTAGAATTTATGGATTCAAAAGATTATATGAAGCTTTTTTGCAAGTATTGTGGTATGTGTGTTTTTCCTTTAAAGGCCTCATTATGCAGGGGTGCTCAGTTGCTTAAAGAGAGGATCTGTTCCTTTTCAATAATGTTAGTGTGTTTTAGTCTTCAGGCCCTTTTTAATCGGAAAAGCTCATGTTTTAGTAAAAAAAAACAACAAAAAAAATACTATTCCATTTTAAATGAAGGTAGACATCTTAAGCTAGCCCTAAAACGTCATTTAAAAACTATCTTCTCATGCACCAAGTGCATTTCCTTGTTAAAAACACTGTATTTCCTGGTTCAAAGTGAGTGCCTTGCTCCAGTGAGTAGATGAATGGAGTTTTGTAAGGTTGTTCTGCAGAGCAGCCTCCTCGCGAGGCGCACCAGGGGCAGCGCCCGGCTCGGCGGGATCTGCTCTGCCCTGCAAGAAGGGCCCCGGACAAAAACCAAACCAGCTGACTGGAACCCCATGGCCGAAGTCTTCTGGGAGCAAAACCACTAATTCTTATTTCACTCTCTGGCTTTCTTTACTCTTAAAACATTTATAATTACAAAAGCCAGGAACAGTGCCCTTCCCTTAAGAGCTGAGGCCTAAAAACTCTTGGTGCGCTGACCAGTTGGTTGGACTGAAACACCCCCCACTCTTAAGCTGCTGAAGTTGGTTCTGTTTCCTCTGTTGCAAGACTTTGTGGCACCCATCAGTTCTGTGTTTCATTTTGAGAAGCATCTTTGGGTTTTAAGTTATGTGCTGAAATATTTTTAGCTGAATACTATAGAAGAGAAATTATTCCCTTTAGTTAACAAAACTTAGTCTCACCTGATCAACTAAAACTGCTTTCACTTTGCGCTCCAGGCAATATTAAATGCCTATTTGTACTGGCAGTGAAGGAGTTGAGCTAGTTTTGGGGAAGTTAGTTAGCGGTTGTGGTGATGTCCTCTTTAATACAAGTTTAAATATCCAACCATCCTGCTCAGTAGGACAACTGCCAAAGCAACAGACTAAGAAATTAATTAAGCAACACTGAACTGAGCCCGTGTGTTTTCCACACATGTCCAATTACTAGTGACCTAAATCTAGTGCAAAAACCTGAAGTCCAGTAGATCCGTGAGAGATGTGGAGCAGGAGAACTGCCCATTGCTATATTTCACGTAGAGCAAATGTCCTAATATAATATTGCTTTAGCAGGAAAGTTGCCACAGCATCGTGTGTCTCTTGCTCAACTTCCAGGGAAAAGTGCTATGTTCTTTATCGATAGTTTTCCAAATGCCTTTTTATCTCATAGGATAGAGCATCAGCAAAACTCCAAAACTGCTACTCTTGCATTGGGGGAACTCATGCACTGAGTGTATGATGGCAGCCCAGATTTTTGCAGTCACCCCAGCCCTTATAATTGAGGGAAGTGGGACTGGGATACCTTGTTAAGCACTATCCCCTTAAGGAAGTGACATAATAAAAATAAATTCCATCTTAAGAGTAATGGACGGTGCGAGCACAGGCCCTGTGTTCTTGCAAGCCCTGCCCTCCTCTTGGATAAGTATGGGTAGGGTAATGGCATGAGGAAAATGATTGCCTTTCTAGACAGCTTAATGATGGTCTGACTTTCAAACTGCACCCAACTCCATAGTGGTACGTTACAAGGCCAGAGCCTAAAGGCTGGTCTTGCACGCTCTGTATTTAGCTGCTAATAGGTCCAAACCTGTGGCTGAACATAGACTGTTCTAATCTTCAGGATTCGATCTTCAGATTTGACTGGAGGCTTCCCTGACTCACTTCCACTGTTTGTACAGCTGTTTCCTCTAGGTGTTGCTTATTGCAGTGCCCGAGACCTGTCTTTCAGATATAATAGGCCTTGGGTTTTCCCCAAACTGGGAAATATTGTGGCCTTCTTTTTCTGTTCTAAAGACTTCGATCGGTTTAAGAGAACGTTGAGTGTCTCTGCTTGACCTAATTAGCTTGGTACATCTACATGTTGAAAAGCAGCATTGTAAGTTAATGGTGCAACTTCTGTATGTGCAGTAGGCAAAAGAAAAGATGTAGTCAGGACCCGTACCACAGTATGTGGCGAGGAGCAGGACCCTGCTGGGATGCTAGCTCTGCTGCTTCTGCTTCTTTTGGGTATCTCGATGGCCAGCAGCAGCCTGGGGACTTGAGGTGGGAGGTCAGAGTCCAGTTTTTCTGAGATCAGTTTCCAGGTACCAGAGATTTCAAAGAGCTGTTTTGTTAATGCTTGTACTTGAGCAATTCTACATTAACAACCAACAAAATTTAACAAAAGTTTTTTTTTTCCCCTTTCGGTGTACTAGCTTCAAATAATGAATGTGCTGGTGGTGGCATTGAAGTCAGAGTGCAGTATCCTTCATTGATATTTTAACTCTTGAGGTCAGTTATGTACTGTTTGTAAATAAAGTGGGTTACAGTTTTGACATGTACTGTAATAGTCTGTCATCTTAATGACAAGGCTGGCACGCACATCTCTTCTATTTCTGTGTAAATCTTTACTGAAAACCTTCCTTGTAAAATTTTTCCAGCCCTTCCCCCTAGTAATCTTCCTGTTCACTTAGCATTACCTTTAGACCTGGAATGGTTTGCTTCATTTGTCTGATTGTTGCTCTTCCTATAACTCATCTTTACAGCTGTTATTAGTAATGCCTCTTGGCAAGCATCTTTCCATCAAAGAAAACGGGTTTGTCCTTTTTCTGGCTCTCAGGGATTTTTGCTCCTGAATTAGGGAACTTGAAAAATACTGCTTTTCTCTTTCAGGGCTTCTGAGTGCCTCTCAACTTCCACAGTCAGTTTGCTTATGCGTTTTAATTTCAGATGCGGCTATTAAAAATAATTTAAAAAATGGATGTGGCAAAGGGAAAGAAAA